CCATTTTGTTTTTGTTGAAATATTGGAACCAAGTGATTTCTAAAATCGAAACATGATGCCCAGAAACAGAGAGGAAACCATTTTCAAGTCAAATAAGCACCTGATCTAATTCAAATTCCATGCCACAATCAAAGTTACATGTTCTTACCGATGTTAAGATTTCAGCATCGACACAAGAGTAGAAATAGCTTATAAATTATCCAACCTGTGCATAAGAAGTCACTGTGTGCCTAGTAAGTGTTTTCTGCAGGGTAGGGGAAGGGGACCGTTAACTATGGTCAAGACTAGCATATCAGAAGCTGAACATTTGCCAAAGAATTACTTCTCCTTACAGTTGTACAAATTCAGTAATTTCTGTGATAATTTTTTTTTGACACCATGAATAATTTTTCCATTTTTTCCTCCCCTGATAGTCTGGATTACTGATAGCCTTTGAACCAAGTATTTTGCCTATCTTCATACCAACAATCATTTGGTGCACCACTTAATACTGATTAAGTCCCCAAATAGACCATCAGTTCTAACACTTGGTGTTGGTGCAGGAAGTTCGCTGTACGCACATGGACATCAGAACTATTTGGACATTTCCCCAGCCATTCACTACATAAAAGAATAAGAAAACAAACAAACAGTTAAGAAATCTGGGCAACACTGTTCCAGTCAAACAGATATAAACAAGAAGGTCGCCCACATGTGACTTCTAAATTACTTGAACTTCGGTAACTCTTACTCAAAGCAAAATACTACCTAACCTTTAGGGGTCTGGACTGCATCACAGACAAGAAGCCAAGCATGTTGTACAGAAGTCTGTCTGGAGACAAAGCTTCATGTTCCAGGCTTTGGGTCCACTAACCCATCAGATACAGAGCATGGGACTGAGAACAAAAACAAGGTTTTTCCACAGGTACTAGCTACAGAAGTTATAAGCAGCAGCACTACTTCTGGTAAAAATACTAGCAAGTCTGTAAGCAAGTTGTTCTTACTCCAGAAAAGCAGAAGAGAACTCCATTACCATACATATAAACTGATGCTCAAACAAAAACAGCTTAGCTCTCCTCCTCCCAAATTTGAAAAAGGCTAGGTTTTCAAAGTTTCATTTCTTCTCATCAGCTCCAGTTTCACTGCACTTTGGTTACATACAATATACTATGCCCTTACATATCCTACTCTATTATGTTTCCAGGGGAGGCAAATTAGTACACAGTAGGCTTAAGGGGGGTGGGGGGGTGGGGAGGAGAACACCAAAAGCTCTCCCTGCTTGTCCCAACAAGGAGTCAGACAGACAATAATGCTCCAACCTCCCAAAAAGATGCAGTTCAGCAGAAGAGACTGGGACTAGCCACAGTAGGGCAAGCTTCTACCATCGTCCTAGAGGATTAACCTGCATACTTCCTGATACTTGCCTAAAATCTGCTACAGCAGCTTTCTCCTGGTCCCAAGGAAACCCCAGTTCAGAAGCTATGCATTAGGCAGACAAGCCTCAAGTATTCAAGGCAAGTCTTAAATTACCTGCAGCAGGCAAAAAGAACACAGCAATAACTGTATTCCCCACTCCCCCCAAAAAACCCAAACCCCACTAAAAACAAAACAAAAAACCCAAAACAAAGTAGTACATGTTATTGGTCAGCTACCAGAGCAGAAATACGTTCTTTCAATGGCTACCTAGACGCTAATTCATATGGAAGTATATTCTAAAAGGAACCAAAGAACAGAGTGAGACTAGCAGTTTTGTTAACAATGCATTTCAAATATATCGCAAAAAAATTATGTTTCTATTACACAGTTAAAAATAATTTCAGCTCATTTTCCGTGTTATTTTATATGCTACTGTTATGCCTTAGAAGAGTTTAGCAAAGCAATCAAGGCCTCTATCTAAAAGCACCAGGAATTGGGGAAGTGCTGAAACTGAGAAAAGAGAGCCATCACAAAAAATGCCTTCACAGAGTAACCAAACTTCTTTGGCAGAGCTTTTCCAAGGCTTTCCGATTCCCCGGAAAGCAGGAATCCTGCCCAGCTGGACTGCTGCAGAAGCCAAGACTAACACATTTCTAGAGAACTCCAGTCTAGTTAGGAGGTAGCTCTAGGTCTACCTTCAAAGGCAGAGACCAAGGGCAGTCCCTGCTTTAAGCTCAAAACTTCTCAATGCTAAGAGTGTTTGGAAGGGGCTGTAGGCTCTCGACACCTCATCAAACCAATCCAGCAGCACCCCTGTAAAGCCAGCAGAAGCTGGAGGTGTGCGAAGCCTCTCAAGATTGCCCATCGGAAAGGGTAGCCACCTACACTGGGGGAAGCTGACCTCAGAATTATTCTTTACCAATAATACAACTACATTCAGGAAGGGTATTTACACACTTCAGGACAGTGCCACAAATTAAGCCTTTGAACTGCATAAAGATGTGGATTGTTAAGGTGGTGAGATGAACAACGACTTCCCTCAGGTTTTAAAAGGATAAAGAAAAGAACCCAGAATCAGCAACAGATTTCATTAATAAACACTGGTTTAACAAAGACTACTCCATTTCTAGTTTCAGAAAGAGAGGCTACCAGTGACAGATGCCACGGAGACTTCTCCATCAGGTGTTACAGAGTTCACTTATGCCAAGTGCATTAAATACTAAAATGAAGTTAACAGACAAGTATTTTTACCTGCTGCAATTCCAGCACCTGAAGTTTTCTGTAGCCTAGTAAATGCTGATACTCTGAGACAAGACACTGCTGAAGCTTCAAAAATGATAAAAAAAATAATGCTTATAACTGTAGCCAGTAGGGGTCATTTCAGTGTAAAAAACTGCAGTGAAAGAAAAGGCTAGAGACAGGAAGGAGAGTAAAAACATCAATTTCTAGTCACACAGTTCTGTAAATCACTTCCATTTCCTCCTCCCTGAACTGGGGTAAGAAAGGGTTTGCACTCCCAGTAGACAGGGTAAAAAAAAAATAGCAGCCTTTATTCTGTTACTGGATAAAGGCGCGGCTTAGTACTACTCGCACATCAGGCATCACCAGCCTAGCCTGTTGCATGTGTGCCTGTAAACTGCACAATTGTTTAGGTCACCACAATCAAAAAAATAGAGCTAATCAACCTCATTTTTGTGATTGGAGGTAGTATACTAAGTCCCCTTTTTTCCTTGCTGCCACCCCTCATGCACAACACACACCATGAAGAACATCACATTACTTCTGTTGGTTAGAATGAGGCAGTTTCCTGACAATTCAGTAATAGGTATTCCACGACTATTTATTAGGCTGATGGTGCAGCTCAGTCGCTTTTCATTTACGAGAATGAAAATTAAATAGATAACTTATCTCCCTGACTATTCTTATAGGGACAGCTGGAACTAGCTCCTAACCACAACACTAATTGAAATGCAATCTTGCCAACAAATGCTTCATACTATTTTCAACAGTAGATGGGACGTGTTACGAGTTGAACTACAGCAACATACAGATTGCATCACTTCAAAGGAATGAAATACTCCTAAACTGCCAGAGACATCCGTACTCTGTGATACAGCAAGGGAGTTGAAACATTAAGGCATTTAATGACTGCATGCTTCTAGTTCCTTTAACCAAGGGGGGGGGGCAACACACGACACAAAAGCTCTTTAAGCCAAGCTTATACTTGAAAGCATGCAAAGAAAGAAACTCATGCAAAACCAGGTAGGTTTTTAAAGTACCTATTCCCTCTTTGCTCATACTTTTCTATTTAAGAAAACTTTTCCAATACATATTAAAAATAATGGTAATAGAGAGAGACTACAGCAATGTACATATCCAGCAACATGGTCTCAACCAAAGTCTTCTAAGTACTTCAGGGACATTTTTAACTGTTTAACAACAAAGCTTTTAACCCCGGAGTTCGTCCTACCCAAGCAACAACTGCACAGGCTGACGGCACTGGTTACAGCACAGGCGGGACCCACTGCCCAGCTCCGCTCTGGTTTGCGATTTACTTCTTCGGGATGCAAACGGAGTTTTAAACTAATAACGAGCGCCGGGACAAAGATCAGCTGCCCACTGAAAGTGACCGGGTTTAGCTCTCTCAAAACAGTGCATCATTTTAAATGCAAGTTTTTTTGGACAGATGCTGCCTCACCAGCTCTCCGGACTTTCTACTGCCCTCTACCCGCCGAGAGCAGACCGGCTCCCTCTCCTTTTCCAGAATTGTCGAAGCTCCCGCTCCGAGTCTCACATACATTTATACATATCCCAAACTACTGGTTATTTGTAATCTCTTTACAGCGCCATGTTTTCCCTCAACTTGGGGGAAAAGGGAGCTGGAGGTACAAGACAAAAAGAGACTAAAAATCTGCCTTTGGCCTTTTGTTAAATTATTATGCGTAAAAAATACATCTCAGGGACTCTGACAGACACAAAATTGGAAGGTGGGGGAGGTGGGGGGTGAACTCCTCTTGCATTTCGTACCAATTCATCACCTCACAAGCAGCCGGCAGGAAGCAGAAGTGACTTTGCCGTGGGGTCTTCTCCCTCCCCCTCGATGCTCCAGCAGGGGAAGAGACATCCCTTATCATCCTACACCGAGTAGGACAGGCGGGGAGATATTAAGTGACAGGAACAGGAAGGAAAACTTTACAACAGATGATCAGCCTTTGTGTTTCCTTACAGAGAAGGGGAATCCGGAACAGGCACCATGCGTGCACGACTGACCTCCGCCGATCTCCCATCTGCCAAAACCCCTTCCCAAGCCCTTTTACCACAGGATTTTAGTCGGGCATCAGTAGTCGCTATAAGCTATTAGCAAACCAGCGAAGCGCTATGGAAAGCGAGAAGTAGAAGAGCCTGGAAGTTTCGGCTCAGAAAATTAAGGGTGAAACTTTTAAACAGGGGTGTTTTTTTTAAGCAGGGAGGGTTAAAAGACACCCTCGCGGATGGGACAGGCGGGCAGCGGGGGGGGAAGGAGGGCGCCCTCCTTCCCCCCCCCGCCGCCCAGCGGGTACCCCCCACCCCGGGGGATGGAGGGATGATGTCCCGCCGCCTCTCACCTTCGCAGACGCCCACTTCGTACTCGGTGATGGAGTCTCCGTTAAGCGGCGGTCGGATGACACAGCGCAACCCCCGGTCGCAAGCTCCGTGCAGCCCGTAGACTCCCCCGCAGCTCTCGTTCCGTTGCCGAGCGCACATGAAACAGCAACCGCAGATGCCCAGTACGATGCTACCGGGGCAACTCTTAGGTTCTTCGCATTTGGATTCGTCGCAGGGTAAGCAGGCGAGAGCCCGCGTCCCCGACTCGCCCAGCAGCAGGGCCAGCAGCAACAGCCACCCCGTCGCCGCCAGGT